ACAGACTTGGTTTTCAAATATTTACATTTACATTTACATTTACACAGACTTGGTTTTCAAATATTTACATTTACATTTACATTTACACAGACTTGGTTTTCAAATATGGTTTCGACGGATTTGAAAAATGTTAGTTTAAAAATACAGTGGTCAGCCTTCTGTATAAATACAATGACCAGGAGAATTTTTCAATTCACAGATTCTCTTAGTTTTATGTTTAAGTTTAGCCTTGCTGTTTAAAAGCTTAGAAGAAATCAAAAATTGAAATTAAAAGTCGTCTTCGTTTTATTGATATATATGACGACGACCTATTTGAGAAGTGTGTATGTACTATGTGCATGAAAAATCTGTGAAAGAATTCATGATTTCTAACTTTATTCGAAGAAATTTCTCAACATTTGTTATTTTGAAGTTTATGACATGAGATATATTTCTCGTGTCGACCGAGCAGAATCTTTACAATGATTCAACATTTTTTTAGATTTTAAATATTCAGAAAATTCAATTTGAGGTGATGGAGGATTTTTCATCTGCTGCTTTAGGTGCAGACTTTAAAGGATGACATGAACAGATAAAAATACGCAAAGACGGATTTAAACAACGGAAAAACAAGGATATCTTCAAAATTTTTGACCAAAAATATGTGTAAAGGGACTGATTTAGAAGCATCCCATTATTAAAACTTGAAATTATGTAAACAGTCCCTTTAAATAGATAGAATACGGGTAGAAGTAAAGAGAAAGACATAAAAAGAATCTGAATAAAATGACGAGAAAAGACGAAAGGAGACGAAAAAAGGAATTACGGATATCTTGTTGGGTAAAGACATCGTTCCTAAGGGGGGGGGATGAAGTTCTGTTTATCTATATAACAATACGGCCTATATACCCCAATACAAAGGGCTTTATACTGCCTGAAACTGCCTTAAACTCTGAGAACTGGTCACACTAGTGAGAAAATAAAGCTTTGATTTTTTTTCAAGTCTGACAACTCACACAAAACTTGACATAGATTTGTTTGATTCAAAGAACCCGACTCAATTTGCAATTTAGCATTGTGAGTTCTGGTTAGCGGAGATACAAGGAGAAGATAGTAGATACGAAACCTACAGAGCAAGAGACCGGGGGGCAGCTAGGTTAGAAATGAATAGAAATCAACAAGAAACAATTGAGAAAAATAGTATGGAAGCATTGAAAAGAAAGAAAGAATAAAATGGGGGTGAAAATAAACCTGAAAAAAAACTTACTGATAATGGGGAGGGGGAGTGGGGGGGGGTAAAAGAAGTGGAAAGATGGAAACTAGATAAGAGAGAGAGTAGTATCCATTGAAGAAAAGATAAGAATGAGCTTCTAAAATAGATTAGAAATAGTTTAGTTGGATTTAACAATAGGTGATCTTGTTTTCTTGTTTAGATCAATCTTTGATCCTGTTTTCTTGGTTGGATCAATTTTTGATCCTGTTTTTTTGTTTTGATCAATTTTTTGATCCTGTTTTCTTGTTTTGATCAATCTTTGATCCTGTTTTCTTGTTTAGATCATTCTTTGATCCTGTTTTCTTGTTAGATCAATCTTTGATCCTGTTTTCTTGTTAGATCAATCTTTGATCCTACTTTCTTGATTTTATCAATCTTTGAACCTGTTTTCTTGTTTAGATAAATCTTTGATCCTGTGTTCCTGTTTAGATAAATCTTTGATCTGTTTTCTAATAGTGATCAATCTTTGATCTGTTTTCTAACAGTGATCAATAATCTTTGATCCCCTTTTTATTGTGTCATTGGGTCTTTTTTTAGCCTGTTCTATTTTTAAATTAATTTCGATAATCTTTACTTCGTTATTTTTCAACAAAAGATTGTATTTTTTTAAACCATCAGAATCTAGGGGTAGGTTAAAGTCAGGTGTTTGTTCTATTTTTAGAGAATCATTATAGGCAAGAATAGACTTGTTTTTCAACTTTATCACATGCTTCCTTTAGCCCCCTCCCCTTCCTTATCTACCCCTCCCAATATCTTGATTCGTGACCAGGTTTGTGTAATATCAGATTACCGAAGAGCAGTTTGGGAAACATACTGCTCCGATAGGGATCAAGAACTGGAATGATAACATCAAAAAACTACTCCTGGGTGTCAGAAAGACAGCAGGGAAGGGGAGGTGGAGGTGTGTGTAAAAGAAAAAGAGGGGAGCAGTTAGGTAGGAACATAACTTTTTATGGAAGCAATAACAAATTTATTGGTTGAAAAACTAGGCTAGCAAAGTGGATGTAAAACAGTCGTATATGGATCCAACCTTTTATCTGATTCAGCAAAATAAAAAGTTGAAATTTTAAACATTTTTTTCATTTGATTTTAGATGGAAAAGTAGTAGAAGTCTTATTAAACATTTAAAAAAAAACCTATTAAAATGTAATATGAAAATATTACAGTTCGGGTTTTTTTACATAATTGCTCGAGTTATATTATAAACGAATTTTAGAATTGAAAAATAGTCATTATTAATTAAATCATCTAAATTAGTATGCATTGGAAAAAGTCTGATATATTAATAAACCATTTATATTACACAGCTGGTTGATAAAATAATAATTTCCGAAAAGTGTATCAAGACCCCCCTTTCTCAAAATAGTTCTTAAGTATATTTTATACTTACATTAAGAATGGTTTTGACTATATTCTTAAAACAAAAGTACATTTCAGTAAATTAATGTTCATATTTATTACAAAGCTATTAAAAACAGAAGAAAAAACATTTGGTTCAAAGCTTGAGTACTCTCTGGTTTAATTAGACCGTATTGTTGGAAGAATTAGCATTTCTGTGGTATTGGAAGCCTAATTACAGCCTTTTACAGAATGTCGCGTACAGCCTTTAATTTGAACATTTCTACAAGATTTAACATTATTTAACAGTCAACATTATGCTGTAAAATTAGGGTCAAACCACGCTTAAAATTCTTTCCGTTCTCGGGAAAAATGAGGGAAAAGAATATTAATTACCTTTTATTGTTGGATTCATTTTTCCAGGATTTTCCATTTTTAGCCGGCAGATTTAAATATTCAAACTCAGAGTTTACCGACACCGTTGAACTCACTTTTACGGCCATTTTAGACCGTGGAGACACCAAAGTCACTTTAATCGGCATTTTCAATTTGGGTTTTAAATCACAATGTTCATTGTTTAAATAGTGCGCGCACGATACGTCCGCTTCTGATAACAGTCGGATGAAAACTGACAACAAGAAGAACAGCAGCAGCTGCTTCTTGTGGTGCTGCTGGGCTGGGCAGAGAGGGTGGAGATGGACGGAGGGAAGAACGGGGAAAGGTGGAGAAAAGACCGGGGAAAGGTGGAGAGAAGACCGGGTGAACGGACGATGAAAGTGCGAGGNCACATGTATTACACATGTATTACACATGTATTACACATGTATTACACATGTATTACACATGTATTACACATGTATTACACATGTATTACACATGTATTACACATGTATTACACATGTATTACACATGTATTACACATGTATTACACATGTATTACACATGTATTACACATGTATTACACATGTATTACACATGTATTACACATGTATTACACATGTATTACACATGTATTACACATGTATTACACATGTATTACACATGTATTTGACAATTTTTCAAAATTGTAAAACTTGAACTTTGAGATTAAAAAGTGTTCGTACAAAACTAGAATGAGCTTTATGCGTAGAGGAACTGAAAATAAAAATTCTTGAAGGTCAAGGATGAAGCATGACATGTTTTTATATTTTTTACATTTATTTTTTGTTGTAGTAGCTAGACTTTTTTCGTTATGTATCGACTTTTCGTTAACCTTCAATGTAAGTAATAATTTGAGATTAACGCATTCTGGGACCATGATTTAATGTGTTGCAATGCAAGACACAGTTGAATCGAAAGACTAAGTTGGCCCACTACTGTTCAACTTGACCCGGCGTACAAGAAACGTAATTCTACGCGGTTCAACTACATCTTGTCTTTAACTTTATCACGATAACTCAAAAACATATGAATTGTTGTTGCAAAAGTAACAGTTTTAAAAGCTGAAAACTTAATTTGTTAAAAAAAACAAAACACTTGAATGTTAACCCTGTTGATCGAGTGAAACTATTTTTATCCAATTAATATACTGCACGACAACCTTGTACAAATTATTCATTCAGGAATTTCATTTGATTTCCATTATTCAACTCCCCACCTAATGCTGGGAAAATTCATTTAAAATAGTCAAAGTTATAGATAGATAGATAGATAGATAGATAGATAGGTATAGATTTAGATGGGTAAGTTAAAAATTGTAAGGTATAAAAATTGCTTCAGCAATTTAGTGAAAAAATTGGATTGGATTGGTGATAAATTAAAATTAAATTGATTTTAAAAAATTAGTTTGTAGCTCTAGTTGGATCTTGTTTTTTTCATGCATATCCATAATACTGGTCCATATCCGCATTAAACTCTAATGAATTTTAATCACCAGAATTAAAGGAAGATGAATAGTAAATTATATTAATACAGCGAGAACCGGAAAAGAGTAATGATTTTTGTCTTCTTTTTTATGATAAAATGTGACGATGGGTTTTTGTAATGTGTAACTAACTTTTAGAAGAATTTCCCTGCAGAGATCGGAGCTTTTGTGTAGATATAGGTAATCTTTTACGCTTGATTTCGATATCCATTTTGGGCACTTCTAAATCTGAGTATTAACGGTTGATCACTCAATCAAATTGATACATTTAGGGTTTGATCAACGATAAATCAACTTAATCCTTGATTTAAAGAAGATGGAGATCAATGCTTGATAATGAGATTAAAAACACAACAGTTTATGACTTCTGAACAATTACATATTAAAGGGACTGTTAAGAAAAAATAAAAGGGGGTATAGGAGGAAACCTAAGAATCGCAGGAGTTAAATGACACATACAAAACATCAATCTGATGCTCTTTTCTCGAGAAATAGTATAAAACTGTGTCAAATTTATACGAAAATTCATATGTATGCAGTATTACACGGATCATATTAAAACACTACGCAACTAATCTGGAAACGACGATATCCCACAGGAGTCTGAGAATCTCAAGGTTGCTCCTGTTATAATTTTTTATTTTTTTTATTTGCGTCTTTAATATATAATTGATAATATAATTACATATATTCCGTATAACATCACGAGAACTTCAGCCAATGACAGTGCGGAATTGTTGTCACGTAATACAGACGGAAATCACGTGACCAGTATACTGCACTGCCATTGGCTGATATTCATGTATATTAAAAATTCAATAAAAAAAATATTATAATAGAAGCAAAGGTTCTCAGGCTCCTGTGGGATATCGTCGTTTCCAGATTAGTTGCGTATTTTTTTAATATGATCTGTTTAATACTCCAACTTTTATACAAAATTGTATATATATTTATGAATTTTCGCATAAATTTGACACAGTTTCATATCAATTTCTCGAGACAGGAACTCATACAGATGTCTTATAGGTATCGTTCAACTCCTGAGATTTTTAGGTTTCATCCTATACCCCCTTTCATTTTTCCTTAACAGTCCCTTTAATACAACAATTAAAAAGCACGAAAAAGTATATATTTCTTTTAAAAAAAAGACACCACAGTTTCTGTTTACTAAAATAGTTAGTTTTATTGTTTATTGTTTTGCAATTTGCGACCCCAACTATTAACAAAATTTAGTTACTCGAAAATTCATTCAAAATTCCACTCCAAGGTTACGAAATTGAGATGTTATCGCAATATTTAATTCTATTTTGGAAATGTATTTTAAGAAAATCCCACGTCTGTCTTGGATATTCTTAAAATTCATGGTTTGATGGCCCAGTGTTAGTATAAAGAGATAAATGGACAGTTAAAAAGATAAAAAAAGAGTGTTGAAACATGGCATGGGAAAACAAATTTTTTTTAAAACTTTCATAGAGTTTTTTAAAATGTGTGAAATATAATTTTAAGATTTGAAATATTATTTAAAGTTCTAATTGATCTAAGAACTAAATTAAATAGTACTATAAAGTCCGAAGCGTAAAAAATTAGGATAATTGCATACAACTGACATTTTGGCATCTACTGCTGAAAACCCAATCTTTAAAACAATAAGCAATCATATAAACACACTGCAAACTAGAGGGTCAAATGTATACGACATTCACGGGCAGCCGCGATTACATTAGAATTTCCGAGCCGCGTCAACTTTTCCGGTCCCAGTTTGTACTTTACCTTGCTCTATGGACAGGACAAGCCGGTGCAACATGGTTGACGCAGTCAGACTTTATGCTTCATATATGTTGAATTTACTTTTACTAAAGGGGCAGAAGTGCGTGCATATCTTGTACTAGATTGTGATCTCGCAGGTTCTCTAGTTTTGATTTTACGAATTAATAAAGTACATTTATCCAGTTACGTATCATAAATTCACAACATTTTTGTTCTTCTATAATAGCTTTTTAAAAATAGTTGTGTAATTAAAAACATAAAAGATTTCAATTATACCTGTAATTTTCTTTAGTTTAATGGGAACTTTTTAGATGGAAGTAATTAATCTTAAACGCTTGATCTCGTTATCCAATGCGGGCTCTTTTAAATTTGAGAATCAATACTTGATCCCTCAGGCTGCATATTTACCACCAAAGGATATCGAAAAGGATCTGAATTGATCCGTAGGTCAGATCATCATCAATGCTTTATCCCAAGATCACAGCAATTTTTCGATAATTCTAATTTTTAAATGGTTTTCATCTATTTATATATTTGATTTGCTGTTTGATCTTAATATCCAATGTGGGCACTTCTATGATTAATGCTTGATCCATCAATTAGAGATCAAAAATGAATTAGTGTATTCGAGTCTGTTAAAGATGGAGATCAATCAGTGGCGGATATAGGGGGGGTTATTGGGGTTATTTACCCCCCCCCTAGAATCCTGGGGGTAAATACCCCCCCTAGAATCCTGGGGGTAAATACCCCCCCCCCCCC